AAAAAAAAAAAAAAATCAACCACAATGAGACATCACTACACACCTACTAGGGTGGCTATGATAAATAGTACAGACAATAACAAGTGTTAGCAAGGACGTGGAGAAACTGGATCCTAAGTAAAAGCAGCCAGATGCAAAAGGGGCATGATTCCAAAAGATATGATTCCATCTATATGAAATATACCAAAAGAACAAATCTACAGAGAAAGAAAGCAGGTTAGTGGTTGCCTAGGGTTGAGATGGGAATAGGTACTAAATGCAAACAGGCACAAAGGATCTTTTTGATGGATAAAAATGTTATAAAACTCTTTTGTGGTGACATTTGCACAACTTTGCATAATCACTAAGAATTACTGAACTGTACACTTAAAACTGGTGATCTTTTAATAGCTTTATAACATAGTTCACATACCATACAATTCACTCACTTAAAAGGTGAATTTCAATGGTTTTTTAGTATATTTACAGTTGTATATCCATCACAATTTTACATTACCCCAAAATGAAACCCCACATCCCACAACCATCAGCCTCCAATCCTTCTATCCCCACCAACTCCACGCAACCACCAATTTACTTTCTGTCTCTACATATTTGCCTATTCCGCACACTTCAAATAAATGGAATACAATATACAGTTCTGTGTAACTGACTTCTTTCACTTAGCATGATGTTTTCAAGAAGCACCTATGTATCGGTATTTCAATCCTTTGTATAGTTAAGGCAGATTTTATTTATCCATTCATCTGTTGACAGACATTTGGGTTGTTTCCACTTTTTGACTATCATGACTAAGGCTGTTATAAACATTCATGTCCAAGTTTTCATTTGGACATTTCTATTCTCTTGGGTAATACCCAGGAATGGAGTTGCTGGATCATATGGTAACTCTATGTTTAACCATTTGAGGAACTGTCACCACTTTCCACAGCAGCTGCACTATTTTCATTCTCATCAGTAGTGTATGAGGGTTCCCAATTCACATCCTATCAACACTTACTGTCCATCTCTTAGATTACAGCCATCCTATGTGGGTATGAAGTGGTATCTTGTTGTGGTTTTGTTTTGCATTCCCCTGATGGCTAATAATGTTGAGCATCTCTTCACGTGCCTATTGGTCACTTGTATATCTTTAATGAGATACTACTACATACATCTTAGAATGACTAAAATAAATTTTTTTTAATGACAATACCAAGTGTTGACAAAGATGCAGAGCAACTGAAACTCTCCTATATTGCTGGTAGGAATATAAAATAGTACAGCCACTCTGGAAAAATAGTTTAGCAGATTCTTATAAAATAAAAAAGAGTTGCCATATGACACAGCAACCCCACTTCTGGGTAAATATCCAAGAGAAATGAAAACTTAAGTTCACACAAAAACCTGTACATGAATATTTATAGCAGCTTTATTCATAATCATGATTCCTCCCAAACTGGAAACAATCCAAACATCCTTCAACTGGTGAATGGACAAACTGTGGTACATCCATACAACAGAATACTCCTCAACAATAAAAAATAATGAATTATGGATATATACAAGAACATGTGTGAATTGCAGATGCATTGTGCTAAGCAAAAGGAGAGATTCAGAAGGCTACATACTGTATGACTCCATTTATATGACATACTGGAAAAGACAAAGCTATAGGAAGGAAAAACAGATTGGTTGCTGCCAGTAGTTAGCATTGTAGGAAAGGGTTGACTACAAAGGGATGACAGGAGCGGATTTATGGGTGTGGTGGAAGAGTTCTGTATCTTGATTGTAGTGGTGGTTACACAATTATGCATTTGTCAAAATTTATAGAACTGTACATGAAAAATGCTAATTTTGCTGTATTTAAATTTAAAAATAAATAAAAAAAATAGTAGAAGGAACAGAATTTACAGTTGAGGAGCTCACAAAACAGACAAGGTTGGAGAGAAAAAACAAGAAAATTAGAGGATCAATTCAGGAAAGCCAATATCTAACAACAGGAGTCTCAAAATGAGATGAAGAAAGCGGAGAGGAAGAAATAATGATGATGATGTATGGAAAATTCTAGCACTGCAGGATATGACTGTCTATATTTAGATTGAAAAGGTCCATGAAGTAGCCAGAAAAATGAAAGCAAAAAAGATGATCTGCAATGCATATAACAACATTCTAAAGCTTTCTGAGAGGAAAAACAGGTCTTAAACAAAAGATCACACATATGCATAGCAATAAACTTCTCATCAGAAGAACTAGAAGCTAGAAAACAATGAAGTTCAATATTTGAGGGGAAATTATTTCTAACCTTGAACTCTATACACCAAGCTATCAATCAGATGGAAGAGTAGAAGGCATTTTCAAACTTGAAAGATTTAAAAAAATGTGCCTTACTGTCAGAAAGCTAGTGGAGGATATCTGAAACCAAAACAAAGAAGTCAAACCACAAAAGGGGGTGGGGCACATAGAATCCTGGAAACAGAAGATTCAACACAAGAGAAGCAAAAGGAATTTTTAAGATAAGGATAAAGGGGAAATCCCAGGAGGACAGACTTTTAAGCAGGACTAGATAGAGAACAACCAGTTCAGGTAAAAGAAAAGAGAACTCCAGCACAGACATAGTAAAACATAAATAATAATAAAAGTCATAGATAACCTAGCATATTTAAACATACTAGGAAAGATGGCCACCTCTGTTGGAGTTTGGGAATAGTTCTATAGAAAACTGAGCAAATGAAAAAACAGAAATGAGGTAAACAGTTTTATAGAAATGTAATCAATCAACACTTACTACATGGCTCATATGTGAATACTGTACTCAAAGAATCATAATAATGTCAACACTGAAAACAGATCTCACCATAACTGATAAACTAAATTTGTTTTTGTTTTTTAAATTTAAATATCACCTATAGACTTTCCACTGTGGAAGCAAGGGAGGAGGGAGATAAAGCCTCTCTTCCACAGTAGGAAGTCTACAGATGATATTTAAATTTAAAAAACAAGTTCGAAAATATCACAATATAAAACATATAAAATAATGTAATATGGTTACCTACAGGAAGCAGGATTAGAGATGGGGAGGAATGGGACATAGAACTGCTGTTTCTTGTTATAAGCCTTGTAGAACTAGTTAAAATTTTATATATTTACATGTATTAAGAAATAATAAAATTAAAAATTCAATAAAGTGAGCAAGAAACAGACTGGCATAATAAACTGGGAAAATAAATGATAAGTAGAATGTTACAGCTAAAAGGGACCTCTTATTTTACAGATGAAGAAACGGGTTTCAAATAATTATAAGACTTACCCAAGTTTTCACATCCAATTGGCAATAGTACTAGAACTAGAACTATATATTGTCTCCTGATTCTTGCATAATTATTATAAAGAGGAACTGCATACTAAAGAAGAAAAGATATGAACAAGGACTCAGAGATGGTTAAGTACAAGTCATGTTCCCCAAATTAGTACAACAGGACTTTTTAAAAAAGACCTGTGGGACAATACTAGAATTCATCCTGTATATAACAGAAAGCAATTTCATAGTATTTAATAGTGTCCTTTGAAATATCTATTGCATTGAAATCCAAACTGGCTATTTTTCCTCAGCAAACTACTCCAATCCTGCAAACCTCTAGAACAGTGGTTGGTTCTTAAGTGAAGGGCTTGAAAAAAGATTACCCCATGCCCAGAAATTCTGATTCAGCCAGGTCTGGGGTGGGTCCCAAGAATTTGCATTTCTAACAAGTTCTCAGGAGATGCTGATGCTGCTAGCCCAGGACCACACTTTGGGAACCAGTGCTCTAGAACAAGGTGTTCCACAAGTTATTAAGTATTCCTAAGAAGAGAGTTTCAAGGCCACCTACCATAATCCTGCCTTTGAGGTTCATATGCCCATTAGCAATACTGAAGGAGTCAAGGAATGCTAAAGTTACCTGCTTAACTTTGACCTGGTCTTTCCCGTAAGAGGAAAAATGGTTTAGGAAAAGGCCAGGTCAAAGTTAAACAGGTAACTTTAGCATTCAAGTTACTAATGGTTTTTAATGCGCTACAGCTACTGCTTTCAAATTTTCAAAGTTTGAGAAATGTTACTCCAGGAATTTTTCTGTGGTCTAAATCTCAGGTTGTTGGAATAATTACATAAGATACTGCATGTCAAGTGCGTAGCACATAAGTGTTTAAGTATTGACTGCTGTTAACTGCTACCTGCCAAATAAAGTGGTTCACTAAGAAATTATTCTTTGGTCAAAAAAAGAAAAAAATATGGTAAGAACCAGAACAATTTCACCTAAATTCTTGAAAATAATGGGAAGAAAAATAATTGCCTTAAAGACATTTTAAGCACAGTACTGTGGGTACAGATTAAAATAAAACAAATGGAAGAAAATAAAAATAATTTAAAATAATTATCATTTGACCTGTCATAAAATTGACATGCTTTAATTTTACAACTACTTTCCATACTGTAATTCAACTTGAAAATGGGATTTGTTGTTTTAACTGGAATTGCCTATTTCTTCTTTCACTGATGAAGTAGGGAAATTCTTTGAAGTACAACATATAAATACTGATAGTTTTAATTCTAAGATAACACTCCTTCATGTTTCAACCAATTATATGAGGTGTATGTCGGGAATTTTTTTTTAACAGCATACATTGTCTGTGACATATATGGTATAGTTGCAAATGTATAATTGTAAATGTATAAAAATGATGCTTCTGAGTTATTTTAATTTCTAAGAGACAATATGGTACCGTGAAAAGAATATTATGAACTTTGCTATGCCACTTTAATCTCTGCATCAGTTTCCTTACCTGTAAAATAAAGGAGATGGGCTGTATGATCTCTAAGCTCTCCTTCCAGTCTAAGGAACGGTGATTCTCTGTGATTCAATGGTGGGTAACAGATTTGCCCTCCCTTTAGATGATCAAATTTGTGATCAACATTAACCATAAAAATAGCTTATAGGGGGATTAACATATCATCCTGGCGAATTGTGAGGCTGAATGGCCCACATAAAAATGAATGATAAATCTTACCTTATCAAGTGAAATAAATAGACCTAGGTTTTTAAAGGTAACAAAATTTGTAACTATATGTGGTGATGGATGTTAACTAAACTTATTGTGGTAACCATTTTTCACTATATACATACATCAAATCATTATGATATACAAGTTAAACAATGTTACATGTCAATTATATCTCAACAAAGCTGAAAAACTTAACAATAGATACATGTATATAAGGACTTGTAACAACCTGCTGAAAAGGCAATTAGTATTTTTTTAAAAACATAATACTAAATCATTTAACTATTTTTAGTACCAAATAACATGGGGGCAATGGGGGAAATTGCTCTGCAACTCTACAGAACCTTTTTAAGGTCTTTCATTACTGAAAAATATAATGGTAAACTGTCTTTTTTTAAAACATGTTTTAACAGCACTCTGAAACTAGAACCTGTCACTTCCTTTCACGGTGAACATTTAAACAGAACTAGCAAAGCAAGGTTAATGAGGAAAAGAAATACAATGGTTCCAAAACAAAATTTGGCCAATACGGCCCTATTCAACCTCAAGGAGACAATAAAGAAAAAGAACTGATTTCCCAGAGCAGTTATCCTTGCTCAGATATGCAAAACAGAAGAAACATTACCAAGAACCACTTGCTTTCATTTCCCTCTCTTCCCTACTTCCACCTGAAGCATTCTAATACAGATTAGAAAAAAAGGAAAACAGTATTCTTTAAAAATATATCATCTTGACACAGAAATACTGAAGGTTGCTTTCTGTTGTTTTTTTTTTAAGCTACTTGCACTGTCCAATCTGTCTACAGACAGACAGGGGATTGAAGAAAGGGAGAATAAAAACCAGAACATTCTTTTCTTTGTTTTGATGCACTGAAAAGACTCGGGCACTTAAACCTCTAAGTAAACTTCAATTCTCTAACTACAACCCCAACTAGAGACTGAATATGAATTTAAATATGAAATTCAATGAAGATTTTGCTTTCTGTATCATTTAGGACTATATACTGTGAATTCTAGGAAAATGTCTCTAAGCCTATTCCTACTTCTTAAAACAAAAACTCTAACCAAGAGAAAATGTCTTATTTCAACATTTTTTATTTTCAAACATGCCACACAATTGCTTTTACGTCTTAGAAATCACCTATGAGGAAAGCTAGTTTTACTAATTCACAAATGGAAAAACTGAAATCCAGAAAATTACTTAGGCTGAAAATTTAGGAATGGTTTTCACTCCTAAATTTGGGGAGTGTATTATCCACCCACTTCATACAGTAGTGGAAAAACCACCACCATGTTCTGGACAAAAGGGGAAATGAACAGTAACAAAGACGCAATATATGGCCTCTCACAGACATCATTCTAACAGTGACTATCAGTTCAGCAAATACTTTAGAAGCACACTTAACAGTAAATGAGTAAATTACAACACTGTATTGCTTTACCAGATAGCCCAATGTAATATATCCTAAAATAATTACTACAAACGAAAATAATTTTCATTTAGTTCCTTTTATCAATTAGAAACAGTACTACACAAGACATTATGGATTATAGATACTGAGTTAAAGTATTAAGTTAGTGTCAAAATGTGTTGTCTGGCATGTTTTAAACGAAGAGAAAAATTTATAATTTGTGTTGTATTATAAAAACTGGAAATTACTAAACTTAAATGTATTTAATCAGAGGGTTTAATTATAAAGGAGTCTAATAGTTACCATCAAATATTAATGAACAATGACCAAGGAATTACTGAAGTTGGCCTCCGTCTAGGGATTCTTAACCTGGGGCGGCCTCAAGGTACCTGTAAATTCCCTGAAATTCATAGCAGAATATGTATATGTGTGAGTAGAGAGAGAAGCAATAGTTTTAAGTATTTTGAAGGGTTTCATGACCCCCAAAAAGCTTAAGAACTACTGCCTCAGAAAGCAGGGCTGTAGCCATCAAAATAAAATCATGACACTGGAATTCCCTGGCAGTCCAGTGGTTAAGACTCCGCACTTCCACGCAGGGCACACGGGGAGGACATAAAAAAAGGAAAATTCATGACAGAGTGTCAATCATAATAGATAATTTCAGCCAGGATACAGTAAAAATTCATAAAGACAATAAGGATCTAGAAGTGAAATACTAAAATAGATGAGACATGATGGTATAAAAACCCCTCAAAATATTTTTTAAGAATCAATATCAACGTCAAGAAACATGTATTTTACTTTCCCATTTGAAGCTAGATTGTTTTGCTCACCTTTTATCTAGCCACCAACAAAAATCATAAGAATTCAAAGAACTATGCAAGACTGTGCTAGAATATTCATGTAAGGAATTAACCATTTAACAAGGAGTTAAGTGTGATTTGGTGGTTATCCTAAACCTTTCTCCATGTAATCTTTTACTGGAAAACACTATAGCTACTGCTGTTTATAAACCTCTGATTTTTAACACCATGCTTGTCCGAAAATCCCCAACAGGTACCGTTCTTTGACAGACCCTTAAATACCATTAGAACATTACATAGATCAGCACTACTATGTTTTAGATGCCATTCCTAGAAATGCTTGATCCTACAAACTTCACCATATAATGCAATGGTCACATCTTTCTCTTGAACAAGAGACATACTAGATATTTTGAAGTCAAGTCAAAGAGGGTAGGAAATGAATGTGTGCATGACAATGTTTCCTAGACCCAATACCTAACCAAGATGAGAAAAGAATACTAAGTTACAGAAGTACATTTATCATTTACGGATAGCCAACTGTTTTTCAGGCAGAGGATACACGAATGTATAGTTCCTCCTCAACTATACTTAAGAGTTCCTCCAGAGCAGGAATCATGTCTTGAGTCCTGCTGATATAAAAAGTAGATTCTTATCATGCACTTATGTTTAAAAAAAAAAACTAAGAGAACAAATAAATGGGCTTGAGCCATTTAGGAAGTAAAGCTGAGAGTACCTGGTGACCAATCATATATAAAGGGTTGGAGCTGTAAGAGTTAAAGCCTGGAAGACTGACTAAATGGTGACACCATTAACAGAGGTAAGGATCTCAGAAGGACGAAAAGGAGAAATATGATTTTAGTTTGGGGCATATCAAGTTTAGGGTGCTTAAGAGAATTAACAGAGTGACATGACCTATAAGCAACTGGAAATACCATGCAGAAGCTCAAATCACAGTTGGGGGATGGATAGGGGAGTCAATAGTAGAAACCCTGGGAGTGATGAAAATACCCAGAAAAAATATACGAGGAGGACCAAAAATAGAGCCCCAAACACAAACATTTACAGAGAAAACAAAGGAGCTGGTAAGTAAGTTGCAAACAGGTAACCGACTGGGAGTTTCTCCACAGGGGTTTTATGAGTAGTGATCAGTATGCTTTTAAATAGCAATGTAAAAACTGAAATAGGTTACATACCCATGGCTACCATACAATCTAAATTTTTTGGAATAGTCCCATGATTTCAAATATACAGTCCTCCTGTCCCCATAAATGATGGAAACATACTGGAATTCAGTGTTCCAATTACAATTCCCAGACCATCTTTTGGATACTTCAGTAGCGTAACTCCTTTTTTTTTTTTTCCCCCGGGTACGCGGGCCTCTCACTGTTGTGGCCTCTCCCGTTGCGGAGCACAGGCTCCAGACGCACAGGCTCAGCGGCCATGGCTCACGGGCCCAGCCGCTCGGTGGCACGTGGGATCTTCCCGGACCGGGGCATGAACCCTTGTCCCCTGCATCGGCAGGTGGACTCTCAACCACTGCGCCACCAGGGAAGCCCAGTGTCAACTCCTTTTTCACATTATGCTCTGAACTCAGTTTCCTCATCTGCAAAATGCAACAACAGTAACTATTTCATAGAGTTATACTGTAAAGAGTGAGTGAGTTCATTTGTGTAAAATGTTTCAAACAGTACATGACACACACTAAGCAGGCAAGGGTGTTAACTGTTACTGTTATTTTTCATTCCCCACTCCCCCATAAAAATACGGTACCAACTGTTCAGCAGAAAACTGATTACCACACAGCTATCAGGACCACCGTGTCCAAATCTTTCCCAAAAATACAATTTCAAGTAATCTGGCCATACATCCCATTTCTCAGACCACATGAAGATTGCTGGTCATCTCTGATAATTTCCTATTTTTAATAAATCACAGGGAATAAGTGCTTATACTATAATAAAGAACCAAGAAAAATATCTATATTACTGCTAGTCATTCCTGACATCCTTAGTCTTGGAAAATTTCCTCAAATTATCAAAGTGGTATACATTTTTATATTGCCCTTTGTGTCCACATGATTTGCCTTTAAAAGCATACAAAGCAGTGCTCTAATACAGGTTCTTGGTGTCTAGAATCACTTGATAATACTTTTTGAGATGACTACTTTTCAATGTTACAGAACCGTGCATCAAGTTCATCAGCTGTACTATCTTACCTAACACCAAATCCTACTCTTCCCTTCCAAATTATAAGCACGTAGTCATCTAAAATCCTTACTTCCCAAGCATACTATAACTTCACATCACTTTTCACCTACTCCAACATCAATCAACTTTCTATTACCTGTCCACCTTTGCACATACCAATGATGTGAATTTCTCAAAATACTAAACTTTCTCTTTCACTTCCTCATCCCTGGATATCTAAATACCTCTCAACAGAAAACTGCTACATAAACTGCACTGCACTTATACACTGATTTCAAACATCTGAAGCCCTGTCAGGTAATGAAACTAAACAAATTTTATTGGGTAAATATTTCAAATAGAATTTTGATTACCATGAATTTTTTCTTAAGGACCAATTAGAAATACCCTTCTAATTGGGCAATTAATTTATCCTAGCCTCTTTCCTCATCTGTAAAATGAATGGTTTGCACTAGGTATTTTTAAAATTCTCTACCAATTCCCAAAATCTACAATTCTTTGTCTTAAAGCCTTTATTTGTTCAATCTAGTATCAATGCTATACCGTGGCATTTTGCTAGATTCCAAAAACTCAGGAATCACCAGTTTCTAAGTCCCAGCTAAGGTTGCAATACACCAAAGGAAAACCCAATTTAGTGAACTGTGAAATTCCTTCTAAAATAATTAAACTTCTGGAAATGAAGAAAATCTCCCTTGGAAGGGATTAAAGTAACTAAAATAAATACTAGGCAAACAAATATAAAGAAACAAAAAGCTTACAACATATATTATGGTATGGTAGAAAGAGCACAGGACTGGGAGTCAAGAAGTTGCTTCTAGTGGCAGCTCTGCCAAAGGCTGTTATTTTAGACAAGTTGTAACCTCTGGCCTTCTTCCTCATCTGTGAAATGAAGGGATTGGACTACATGATCTTGAGGATTCCTGCCAAATCAAAATGGTTCTAAGATATCCTTTGCTTTTTAAACCCCACAAGTGATATAAAATTTTACAAAGGTATAGTCAAGAGATGTCACTACACACAACTGACACCACTGGCTTAAGCCTCTGCTAAATGAAATAATGGAATCTGGGTTATGTGCTCTTGTGGGAAAGAAGCAGAGGATTTGGGGCCCTATGCTGCTCTTTAGTTGTCTAATGTTTGAGTAGACCCTTTCATTTGTTTCTGATTCTCTATGGTTAATCCTTCATGACATAAGATAATTAAAGACTGAGTGATCAACATAAATTTTAAGCCACATTTTTTCTCAAACTAGAGAAACATATTTAAAAGAGAGGCCAGAAAAGTGAAATTCTCTCTATGGATTTGAATAGGGCCTTTCCTACAGCATTAGGTTAACATTAATATACAATTATGATTATGGTGCTATGAATTCTCAACTGTGTATATTACTCACTTTTTAGGTTATTCTCAGCAAAATTTAATCCAAGTTGTATCCTCCTGCTACCCGGAGTACTTCTCAGCCACCACCTTCTACCATTAGTAAGAATTTATTTTAATATTAGCCTAAGTAAAACACAATCAGGAAAATAAATCTACAGAAACATTATATAATGCATCCCAAGTAAAATGTTTAGAATATTCAACATTTTGGGATAATGCAATCAAAAATGAATCTTTATAGTGAATGCTCTATGTTTATGGATGAATTATATCTAAACTTTCTACCAGAAAACTATCAATACTTATGGATAATCTAGTTTATTTTATAGATCTTGAAACCACTTACCATAATCAGAATTTCATAAAGTATCTATTTTGAGTTATGTGAATTTTAAAACCATAAATTTAGGCCATTACACACATCAGATCATTTATTCATTTGTAAAACTAACTTTATAAGGGCATAAATTCCTCTATGATGCTACAGTAAATGTTTCCACACCACTGTGGGGGGGGTCCTTAAAAAATAACAGCAAGTCCTATTGGCACAAGTGCTTTTTGATTTACTCTTCTCAAACCAGTAAAGCTTTGACATTGGGCAAGTTTATTTTTGTCACTTTCTATTCATATTTTACAGGAAAACAGTGAACACATCCTCCACTCTATTCTTCAGGATAACAGTAGTTTCTCGAAGTACAACAGATCAACTGACTTGCTAGTTAATCTTTTTAAGGTAATTATTGAGCTTTTTATTTCACAGAACACAATCCATCATTTTTGTTTTTTTTTTTTAATTTGGTTCCTTGGATTATGAAGCTAAAGATTCTGACTCAAATTTTCTTCACAAGTTTGTTACTGTTTCATTTTTTACTCTAATATCAAATTAACTACATTTGAGGTTTTTGTCAAAGTTTTCATATTTAATTCATTTTTTTCATGATTCCAAATCCATTTGGGATTCTAGAATAAAACGTGTGAATGCTCACTACATATTTCTTTTACTAAAACATGAAGAATAGGGAAAAATCTAATAAATTTGTGAAATTGCAATTAGAATCTGGACCCAAATGCTAACATTCACACCATAAAATTTTCTATACATTCTACAGATGTAGGAGACTTATTAATTTATATTATTCTACAAATATATACTCTACATTTAATTTGATTTAACCACATTCCATAAGTTGAATTTGAGGGGTGTTTTTAAAGCTTTGAGAGTTTAGTGTTTATTTTTGTAATCCAACAACTTTATCCAAAAATGCAGAAAATTTTTCTGGCTGGCCAGGAGGAAAACATTTCAGTGTTGAAAAGTCCATTGACTGTAACAGCCCAGGAAGCATGCTAAAACAAAAGAAGAAAAATATTAGGTAATATGGGAGAAAATTCCATAATTCAATGCTGCCCACTTGATGACTGAATCTAACTTCCAAGAATATTGTGATGGTTCTCAACCTGTATATGTGAATTTCAATGTATTTTAGTATTATAGGTATACACAATAATAATAAAATAATACAAAGTGCATTACATGTCAATAGCAATTCAACATTTTATCTTTTACATCAACTGAAATATTTCAGAAATGTTATTTCATGAAAGATGTGGTCACATGGCTTTGGAACACTTCTCATGACTGGGCAGATATAACTTGAAGCAAACTCAATTTATGAAAACAGAATAAATGAAACCAAAAGTAACAGCTGCAAGACAAGAACAATAAGCTGGGGAGACTACTAGACCATGCATGAAGATTGTGAAATAATTTTTGCTAGTAATTTACTACCATAAATCCATATATAACTAAGCAACATACAATCGCTATGCACGTTGGAAATAAGGTTCAGACCCACAACATAAAACTATTACTTCAGAAATTTAATTAAACCAGCCACTTAAATTAGAACAATCATCCAGCCTACATTTGGGGCAAATAAATGATATACCTAAAATAAAAATACAACCAATTATTGATTCTCCTTATGGCATCCACGTGTGCAACTTTCTTGAAATTAATACAAGAAAAAAAGAATTATAAAACTGAAAAAAATTAATAAATTGGAGATTTGTACAGCTCCTTTTTCAGCCTGAGTAGAGAGTCAGGATGTGTCTATGAAATCAATGCTTTCCCCTTTTTAATGTACTAACATAAAAATCGAAGCTGATTTAATGTTTAGAATGAAAATACTCATCAAAAGTGTCTGAAAAAATTGACTTGCATAAACCAAGGAAGATGAACATTGATTCCTCTTCAAAAATGGTATTAACCCCTAACAATCTCAACTACCTAAGGACAGATATGCCCATTATCTGAAGCCCACATAATTCTGATTATCTAGCTTCTCCCCTGACTCACAATAGTTTAAGAATGGCTTCTATATTACAAAGCCACCCTGACATTCCCTCTCCTCCATCATTATAGGGATTAGGACACCAACCATTGCTCCTGGAACAATCAATGAATCTGTCTCCTCTCAATGAGAATAGGAAACTTTGTTTTTGTTCACTGATGATGCCAAGTACCTAGAATAATGCCTGGCACACAGTATGTGCCCAATAAATAATGAATAAACAAGTATTTACTGAGTGCCTAAGACACAGAAGCAGTAAAATTAAAGCTTATGTTCTAACCAGTTTTTTCTAAGGTTTATTTTCAAATTAATTTCAATTTATTATAACATAAGAAATATGCATTTTGTAATACTTCTATGAGGTCTTTTCTTTTTAAAACAACAAATTAGGATAGCTTTTAAAGTCCAACAATTGGGAATTACTGACCTGACCCTTTGGCAAGCTTCTAGTGTCTGAAGAAAAATTAATAGAAAACCAGCAATTTTCTTCATCCTTCTATTGTGATGTTGATCAGTTCTTGCTGAATTCTAATATACTTCTAGAAAATAATACTCCTTACCATAAAGCAATTCCTCTGCTTAAAATACTCCCATGGCTTCTTATTAAACACAGAATAAAATCAGAACTCTTCTGTGAACTATCCCCACCCAGCTTCATCTTCATACTACATTCTCTCCCTTGCTTACTGTACTCCTGCCACACTAACCCTCTGTTCCTCAAACACACCAAACTCCAAGCTCATTCCCAACTTAGGGCCTTTGCAATTGCTGCTGTTCCTTCTGCCTCTAGAGCTTCACATGACTGGCTCTTCCTGGTTATTCAGGTCTCAGCTCAAATGTCATATACCCAGTTATGCCTTCCCCGACCATTCTAATTAGTTTTCACCCCAGCTATCACATCACCCTGTCCTATTTTCTTCATAACACATTTCACCATATGAAATTATCTCGACTGCTTATTTATGAACTGTTTACTGTCTATTTCCCACCACTAGAACATAAGCACCATGAAAGCAGGGACTTTACGTCATGTTTAGCACTGTTATCCACAGCACCAAAAACAATGCCTGCCATGTATTAGATATAGTTGAATGAATGAATGAGTAAATTTAATTTAGGGATTCCAGTGGATTTACTGAAAGCAAAACCTTAATTAAAAATAAGCAAATGCCTTCCTTAAATAATGAAAAATAATGAACACAAAAGTTTATATTCTCAGAGACCTGCACACCCAGATGAATACACACAGATACGTGCACACACACACATTCAGATATTCACATGCAATGAAATCAGCATAGACACGGAAAGAAATACAACACAGATATCACAAAGTAGAAGACAAATGAGCAGGTTTTACAGGTGAGAAAATCAAAATGTTTGCTAAGTGGGAGAAGGTAAGAGATCAAAGATACAGGCGGGTTAGGCAGGTGGGTAAGAATAGCTAGGAAGGAATTAAGAGGTCAAATAATCAGTCTCTAGTATACCTGCAGGTACAGTAGAAGAGATGCCCGTCTTTGTGTAGCTGCTTTGCCAATTCCAGCTGATGATTGTTCATCAACTTTTCATTTATAACCACTATGAGTGGCTTTCTTTCTTCCAGAGTCTCCAAACAGCTTCCTGCACCTACAAAAATATACCAAATTTGTTAACACAGTTTAAAAAAAAGTTACAGTGATTCACCAGGCCTTATAACTAGAACTCAAAAGATGAAAAATTTAGTTGGCAACACTACAAATCAAGCCTTTTAATTATACATCTAAAATGACAAAAAACAGTTATGAGTGGTCTCTAGTGTTACAAACCTGACTTGAAAAACACATTCTTTATCACTGCCAACAATATCAATGCTTTGCAACTTGCCCTCTAGTAGTATGCCCTGGGCATGGGCCTTGAATCCAAATAAGATTCAGGTTCAACATACTGTACATGAAGCCATACTGCACTTCTATTCAAACACAAGTAAGCAAGCCTTCAGTAGTGACAAGCACCAATAAAGGAAAACTTTGACCACTCCTTATGAGTCTGCTTGTCAAAAGAGTCAAGGATAAATCTCCACAAACATGCATATATACAATATTTGGGTCAATTCAACTTTTAACTCTAAACTCATTTAGATAGTTTAAATGGGAGCGAGGAGACTGCTAAGTGAGCAGACAAATCCTTTTTGGGTAGACGATACCAGCACCAGACTGTTATCTGTCTGGCGCTTACTGACTGGACAAATTACCTAACCTTTTAATAGAAATGTAAAAAATCTTCCAAAGCCAAATTCTCAATGACCAATCCGACCAATTAGCTGGCTGAACGTTCCTGCAGACCTAAGCCCAGATACTAATTCCCACTGACAACTCTTGACACGTCATTGGATAACTTATTTTGCCTGTGTTTAGGGTTTCTGTAAACCCTAAAGTTTACAGTTCTGTAAACTGTAAAGCTGGCCTTCAGTGATTGATTTCCCATTTTTCTATCACCCAGAATTATAAATTCTCTCCAATAATGTTCCCGACTGCTATATTGCAATCAGTATTTTATTCAAAATGGCTACCGGTGAGTTACCCTAGTGATTTTATTTTACATCAGAAAGGTTCGAGTTTCTGTTCTTATTTGTTGTCTACCAAAAACCAAACCGGACAGTTCTACGGCACTTTACCGGCGTGACTAATAACAAGATCTGCTTTCTGAAGGTCTTCTTTCAATGAATCCTTGTATCTGTAAACATCCAGAATAAATGACTCCGTGCTGAATGGTTCAGGTACCACCTTTCCTTTACCTATTTGTAGGACAAGTCGGTTGTAACCGAGGCTCTGGATTATCTGAAACGGGAAAAAAGAAAAAGCGGGCCTTTTAAACAGGCTACTGTAAAAACAGTAATATCGACAACAAACCACCCAATCGGAGCACAAGCTGCCGAATAAATAGTCGAACTGGAGCCCGTTAGTTTTTCAAATGGCTCCTTTTCCCCCCCGTCCCGGGCCTCGACTTGGCACCTCACTAGCCCTAAGGGATCTAAACGCCCCAGCTCATCCCGTCGTGACAGAAATGGCCCAACAAGAACTTGGAGACCAACGCAAAGACTGAAAAAGGCGTCGCAAACTAGGGAGGGAGAGCAAGGAACAGCGTCGCCGTAGCACACGGCTGGGGCTGCGCGAACCACGAGCCATAAGGAGAGGGCGCGCTCGGGGGATGCCGCGCCGCGCGTGGACGCCGGCCGCGAGGGTGCCTGAGCCGGAGGTAAGGCACGGCGGCCTCGGCCCGAGCGCGGCGGGGCAGGGCCGGGGCAGGGCGCCGAGCGGACCGGCCGGGTCGGGCAGGGCAGAGCCCGACGGAGCGCGTCGACCGCGCGGCCCCAAGGGGCCAGCGAGGCGGGCACAGGCACGGGCCCGGGAGGCGGGCCGGAGCCACGGCTCGGAGAGGCGGAGCCGCTGGGAGGAGAGGCTAAGCCGGAGGATGGAGAGGCGGAGGCGGAGAATCCGCGGAGAAAATCCGGGAGAAAGGAGGAGCCGGAGAAAGGACGGGGAGGAGCGGCCCGGCAAGACTGTAGGGAACAGGAAGAGGAGGCGGAGGACCCTAAGCACCGGGGGAGCTGGAGGAAGGCCCAGTCAGGCGCGGGGAGGAGCCGGCTGATGGGCGGCGGCACCAGAGATTGAGCTGCCAGAGATTCTTCCCGAGTGCAACAGTCAGGCAAGGTTACCGAGGTTAGCGGTCAGGCTGGTGGCGGCGAGCGGCGAGCTCAGCGCGGGGAGCCCAGCCGCCGCTCGCCCGCCTCCCGCTCGCCTCCCGCTCGCCTTCCCCACTCACTTGCAAACTGTCGGGCGCCGACACACATGCAATAAGGTCGTCAAAGCTGGTGGTCCCTACAGTAACAAACACGCACTTCATCGCGCGTGACCCACAACCACGAATATCAAGGCCCGGACGTGACGTAGCGGACACCACGTGGACGCCGCAACCGCGCTAGGTGCGGGAGGCGGAAGTCGGGCGTGGCCGCCAGGGGGCAGCAGCCACCTGAACTGTGTCGCCGGGGATGAGTTGGGAGCAAAGAATGTTCCTGGCCTATGTGCGGCGCACTGTTGTAAGCCCTTTGCGTGTAGAAGCTCATGGGACCCTCACAGTTAAGAAGGTGGGCAATTGACAAATTTATTTTTTTCAAAAGTGGGGTTTAAAAAATAATCATGAAGCCTCACACCCTTGTGTTTGCATCCTTGCTCGGGTACCACAGCTCTTTTAATGATATAGATGTTTGGGATTCTTTAGCCAAGATACATTTGAGAGATGGTTTTACTTCAAGTCTGTTGAGGGCATCTGAAAAAAAAGTGCCTTTTAAAAATCGCTCATTAGCCTGGGCTCTTCTTCCAACTGTGGTTCTCAAGAAACCAGAGCCCTACAGAGTCTTGGAAGCTGCAGAGAAACAGCAAGCTCCATTAGCAAGCATTGTGTGTAAAATAGAGGCTTTTTTTTAACATCTTTATTGGAGTATAATTGCTTTACAATGGTGTGTCAGCCTCAGCCTTACAACAAAATAAATCAGTTATACATATGTTCCCATATCTCTTCCCTCCTGCGTCTCCCTCCCTCCCACCCTCCCTATCCCACCCCTCTAGGTGGTCACAAAGCCCCGAGCTGATCTCCCTGTGCTATGTGGCTGCTTCCCACTAGCTATTGATTTTACGTTTGGTAGTGTATATATGTCCATGCCACTCTCTCACTTTGTCACAGCCTACCCTTCCCCCTCCCCATATCCTCAAGTCCATTCTCTAAGAAAAAAAAAAAAAAAAAAGAGGCTTTAAGGCCTGAAGCCTACATCTCTGTCATTGAACCCATCCATTGAACCATTTAAAACGTAGAATTACCATAAATTTAAATTATAATAAAATGTAAAATTATACATTAGCATGAATAAATACCACATATATATTATACTTAGGCAATCAGGTAAGGGAGAGGCGATTTCTCAAGACTCCTCTTCTTTGTCCTACCACCATTACTAAGATCATTGCCTGCTTTATCTCATTCTAATGTTTTCTGTATTTCCTACCTAAAATTTCAGTTTAGCTAATATGGATGTTTTGCTCTGCCTGGTTAAATACAGAAGGGAAGGTATGAGAAGAAACTCTTAACACGAGAAGGATTAGAGGTGAATTAAGCCTAGAACATGGGCTAAAAAAACCTATTAAGCCTATTTCTAACAAGACTGTTTCTCTAAATCTTGTAGCTTGAGTACATGTCTTTTTGAGGGGTGGTATGCTCTACCCCTTTCTTGATACCAAATTTCATGAATTAATAAAACTAGTTTCATAATAACAATAAATGTAGAAAGATCATGGTTAAATAATAAAATATAAGCATATTTTCTGCCTAATAAGAGGAATAAAGTATGAATATTTATTGGAATATAAAGACAAAAAATATTCCAAAATATTCTGTAATTCAGAAAGATCTTGTGTCTATGATATCTTTTCCTATATCTGGAAGATATAAATTAAAGGAGCACTGTTCTGATGAGCTCATAGAGAGAATAAGCACATACAGAAATTGAATAGTCTTAAATTTCCAGAAAATAAGAAAATTGAATATCTAATGAAACTGAGCCCCGCTAAAACAGCTTCCTTACCGAGTTAATGATTAATCTCTCTATTCAAAACTTTTTTCCCTTTCTTGTGCCCTCTGACCTCAATCCTATGCTAACTGAACACTAACCAACCAGAGTCAGGTGACTAAAATTGCTGTTGTTGTAGATATCATCATTACCTTAAAAACTCGGGCTGTTTCTCCAGGGCAAGATGAGCTCACAGACCCCTGAGCCATGGACCACATGGCCAGAGAATCCTAAACCAGAGACATCTTGACTCATGAAATCATGCTTAAGAAATGTCACAAGACAATGATTAATTCCAGTTTCTTTGTTCTTCCCCTTCAAAACATCTCCAACTCAGAGACCAAGATGGAGTGAATCTGAGACTTGTATCCCACTCCCTTGCTTGGTGCCCTGCAAATAAACCCTTACTTTGCTGCAAACTCCCACTGTCAGAGTTTGGCTTTCTGTGGCATGGGCACACAAGCCCTTGCTTGGTTACATTAATACTTTAAATGTTCTAGACTTTACTAAAACATCTTCTTGCAGAAATTGATCCAGAAACGATTTAAGAACCCAAGATTACATAATTGATATAAAATTTTGGTAATTAAGTCTTTTCTCTGCTTTGTCAGTGTTAAGTATGCATTTTATTTTACTTGGGTGTGTTTTCCCTAAACTTACACAGGCTTACTTATCAAATAAGTTAACATTTCTAAAAATGTTTATGATTATGAAAAATGTAAATTTCTTTTCAACTACATTAAATCAGCATTCTGACAAACTTTATTTCAACAGTAACTATGCTTCCTGGTATGCCAGCTTGAAGATAATTTCCAGGATCTTTAAGCACCTTTAAAAAAAGTGTGTACTGGGCTTATTGGTGGCGCAGTGGTTGGGAGTCCGCCTGCCGGTGCAGGGGACACGGATTCGTGCCCCGGTGCGGGAGGATCCCACGAGCCGCGGAGCGGCTGGGCCCGTGAGCCATGGCCGCTGGGCCTGCGCGTCCGGAGCCTGTGCTCCGCAACGGGAGAGGCCGCAGAAGTGAGAGGCCCGCGTACCGCAAAAAAAAAAAAAAAAAAAAAGTTTAGAGTACTGCGTCAGTTTAGATGGGGTTGCTTCCTTTATTTAGTAATTAATGCTTCCACCTACGATTTGAAAGATTATTCTTTACCTTACATGTAATCTGCCTAAATAGCAAAGATTCTGTGTCTTACAAGAATAATCTTCTATCACTTAAGTTGTCTTTTTGTGTCCCTGATTATTTAAGGGGAAAATACCCATAGAACGCAACTCTTCACTTACATTGTGTTACATTGTGTAACATTGTGTTACATTGTGTAACATTGTGTTACATTGTATTTTTTTAATGCATTATTTGTACTTGGATTAAATAGGAAGGGAAGCATTGTTTCTCAGTCACTCATGATCCTACCTAATCAAGTGACCAGATCTCCTCTGACAACCCTTAATTTTGTCTTCCCAAAATCAGTTCCTAAATTTAGGACACATAAAATAAAATTTTCAGAATATATTACATACATAAAACTAAAACCTTTATGTGTAAAACCTCTAAGACTTCTCAGAGGGCCTTTGGAATCACAAAGATTTGCGCTGCCACTTTACAAAAAAAGATACTGGAAATAATTAGGTTTGTTTAATTTGTTACTATAGTAAAGTTGCATGGGAAAAGTTGTCAGATCAGAAGGGACATTCAGCCTTTCCTAAATTACGTTTGTTTGGTAAAATATTAGTATAAAAATTTCAGAAATTACATGCTTTACGGGAAGTCCCCAGCGATTTGTCAGTGCCCTCCATGATGGATGTGCCCTCCATAATACTGTTTTACCTTCAGGAATAACCCTCATCAAAACTCCTATGAAATAGTTACATACTGGACTCCAATACGGCTCCTCTATTTTGATAGAATTGGCAATAGTAATAAATTAACCACAGCCATTAAATCTCTTAATGTTCTTGTTTTACTCTAAAGCTTACCCGAAGATTCTATTACAGGCTAGAATTTGTATCTTCAACAAAGAAGAACAATCTCAGAGCCTCATGGAAAAGGACTGTACCAGGTACTTCACATGATTGCCACTTCAAAGAATAGACTTCTGAGTTGACATCACTTAGATAACTTTCAGAGGGCACCAGTGGACTGAGGCAAGATTTCCAGGACTCTTTCTAATCCAATGAAAGGCTCAGAACACTACAGAGTCAGATAACCAGGAAGGATGTACTAGGCAATGCCCAGCCTTCTGTAAGCTACCCAGTAATCCTTTTCTTCCCCCCCTTTCAAAATCTTTCAGTTTTTCATGACATATGAAACCCAGGTTTTCTGACATGCATTTTAGAAGAAATATCGTATATACTTGCCCAATAAAATAAACACGGAGCTATTGCTGAGAATCTAAAGGAAATATGGAAAATAAAGTAGCATTAGTTATCCTTATGATTAGGGTGGTTTCATATTGGTTTTATATAAATGAGGATCTATTTTATTTTTTAAATAATTCAGAATGAAATTGTGATGAATGTTTGCCATATTAATTTATTCATATTCTTTTTATATTTTTCTGTTTCTGCTCTTGCTGTTTCCTCTCCCTCCCCATCAATATGGTTAGCTAATCCTTCAAGATTCAGCAGAGGTGCAAGTTCCTCCAGGAAGCCCTTCTCTGACCCTTGTAAGGTATGTGCATTATGTGCAAATATTGTTCTTTGCCTACCTCTGTCATAATTCTTGATGTTTAAATTACCTGCATACTTTTTTCTTCCTCTGGAACGTAAAATCCTGAAAGAGTGGAGACCGTGTCTAAGTCATCTCTGAATTCCCAGAATTTAGTGCTGTCCCTGGAACCTAGGGACATAAAATAAATGTTTATTGAACTAAAAAAGAGTTACATTATTAGGTACCATGCTAGGCCCTGTGGGGAATATGACAATAAATAAAACATAGTGCCTTTTCTATCTCAAGAATATATGGTTTTGTTCATAGGCTGATCAAAGTTTTGTGGACTTATTTTTTTAAATTAATTTTATTTATTTATTTATTTATTTTTGGCTGTGTTGGGTCTTCATTGTTGCGCACGGGCTTTCTCTAGTTGCAGTGAGCGGGGGCTACTCTTCGTTGCAGTGCATGGGCTTCTCATTGCAGTGGCTTCTCTTGTTGTGGATCACGGGCTCTAAGTGTGGGGGCTTTAGTAGTTGTGGCACGCGGGCTCAGTAGTTGTGGCTCACAGGCTCTAGAGCGCAGGCTTAGTAGTTGTGGCGCACGGGCTTAGTTGCTTCGCGACATGTGGGATCTTACTGGACCAGGGATCGAACCCGTGTCCCCTGCATTGGCAGGCG